GGGTTCGGTCTAAAGGGGAGGGGCTTAGCTTGACCCTGGTGGTGGTGAATGGATAGTTGGGGTCGGTCTGAAGGGGAGGGGCTTAGCTTGACCCTGGTGGTGGTGAATGGATAGTTAGGGTCGGTCCGAAGGGGAGGGGCTTAGCTTGACCCTGGTGGTGGTGAATGGATAGTTGGGGTTGGTCTGAAGGGGAGGGGCTTAGCTTGACCCTGGATTCAGAGGGACAGGAGGTGAGAAGGGGTGGAGGAGGGTTGCGTCGAGTCACCTGAAATGACAGCTGTCAGAGGGGAGAGCAGATTTAAAAGGTTTAGCGGAGCGCTATGATAGGCTTGAGAGAATAGAGCGAAGTGATTGGTTAAGCTGGGGAGTGACGCCCCCGATCACTTATTGAGAGGAGAGAGAGTAGTAACATGGAAATAGTAAATTAATGGGTAAAGACGGTCTTCCTGGTTGAACTTGCGCTGACTCCATTAGGCGCCAAAACTAGGTAAAAAGATCTAGGAAAATTATAATTGTTTGGGTTTGAAGAGATATTCCTACGTTTGTGCAATGCCTTGTTTTGTTTTATGTGCCGCTGCAACGCAAACATTTCCCAACTTGGGATCAATAAAGTAACGTCCCAAAATGTTCCTCACTTTACCGTTTGTGTTGAATCCCAGCTCTTCATTCTGCTTCATCTTTCAGAGCATTTTTCTGAGCTCTCCATTAATCTCTCTTTCCTCCTGCGAGTTACCGTACGGCAGCTCGATGTTTGACGTGGACGTCTCGTCGGAGAGATTAACTCACACTCACCTCTGTCAAAATGATGCCTGACAGCTCACACACTTCTGAGGAAATGCATATCACAGGGGAAGCAGTGTCTGTGTGTAAAGTGTGCTTCAAACATATTTGCTTTTATAAGGTTTACAGCTTGATTTAAATCCACTGGTTTAGAGTTTACAGCCAAACAACTAATCCCAAAGTGAGTGTGAAATCCTCTTCCATGGTTCAGGTTTCTCTTGGTTCGCGTCCGCGCTTCCTTCCTGTGTTTCTGATCCGCGGCTGTGTCAGTATTGATGCAGGGTGTGATGGTGTTGGCTCTATTGAGCTCTTCACAGCTCGCTGCACATTCACTGCAGTGTGTGTGGGACTGATGGAGTCTCTCTGCGGCTGCAATGACCCACAGGGAACACACATTGTATGGATGGAGATACACCAGATATATGAGGAAGCCCAGGAGCACTCTGACACCACGGCTGTTTTTTCTTTCAGATTGTTTGAGATGATGATGATGATGATGATGATGATGATTTGATCGGACGGTTGACCGCGGATGTAATTTCAGCCTGTCAGACCTTCAGTGCAATCTCAGTCCTGATGTCTTCCACTTTAGTAATTCAGACACTTTTAGCTGTGTCCTCTTTTCAGGAGCCGTCTCCTTCAAAGTCCACATTTACGGACTGGACGCGTCGTTCCGAGTTGAAGATGGTGGTGAAATGTAAACCTTTACATTGCATAATATCCTTTTTTTGCCCACGCTCTCATCATTTGTCTGTACCCTCCATCAAATAGATGTTTGTATTGATGTAACAACATATTACGTTAAGTTTAGACATGACTTGGTTAGCTTTACGGAGGTCCAAACCAAACATGGAGTCGTTTTAAGAGCCGTATCCTTAGAGACATTTTACAAACAAACATAATCTTTTCTAAATCCAAACTACAATGTTTTACGCCTAAAAAAACCAGTTTTGATGCCTAAACATAGCCACACAAATGCAAGATAAGATAAATAAGCTTATCCTTTATTAGTCCCACATAAGGGAACCAGTCCAGCTAGTCCTTTATTAGTCACAAGAACACAACTATAACAACAAATACAAAAAAAACATATCCAATAATCCATACGATCCATGAACTTCTACCCAAACTAAATTCAAACATGTTCCAATGTCTTTTACTCATTTTGATACAGAATCAATACAATTAAATAATATTGTTCAACTATTCTCTTTGTTTGTTTTCCAGAGTGTTAACGATAAAGCTGCTAACGGTGTGGAGTCACTCGGTGTGAAAACTGCAGCCGGAGAGAAATACCTGCTGATGCTCCTGAACTCAACGCTCTGACGCTCCAATCAATACTTCACTGCAATGCAAGAGTCCTGCACACACACACACGCACACGCACGCACGCACGCACGCACGCACACACACACGCACGCACGCACGACACACACACACACACACACACACACACCCACACACACACACACACACACCACACACACCACACACACACACACACACACACACAGACACACACACACACACACACACACACCACACACACACACACACACACACACACACACAACACAGCACACACACACACACACACACACACACACACACACACATCACACACATTTTTTTATGTTTCAATTGAAACAGATGGTTTAAACAATGAACTAAACAAATGAATATAAATGAGAATTAGGGATGAATGTGAAAGGGTTGCAGTGATTTAGTTTTTACTACTATTTCTCAAAAGCAAATGTAATCCCTTGTTTGTTTGTATTTGATTTGATGTGAGTTTTTGTTGCATGGTGTCTCTTTATAATATCAGAGCTTCTGCTGAAGTGTTTGTTCTGTTTTCTCTTTAGTTTGTCTACAAGTATTCTTCTTTACGGATGTGCAGCTAAAACAAACCCCTGCGAGTCGCTTTGCATTAATCTCACCATTATTCTTCTTCTTCAAAACAAACAGTGCTGAAGGTCTTCCTCCTGTTGCAGTGTGACGGCGGACATTAAGTGACACATTTCCCTGCTTCGTGTGAGAGAGATGTTTAGCTTCCAGCTCTCTGAAAACTCACGGCGTCTGAACATTGAATTGTTTCCTTTAAAAGACCTGAATACAAATATCTTTTGCGATGTAACTTCGTCACATAAAAGAGCTAAAGTGTGCTTCAAATGTATTTGCTTTTATAAGGTATACAACTTGATTTCAAACCACTGGTTTACAGTTTACAGCCCAAAAACTAATCCCAAAGTGAGTGTGAAAGCTTCTTCTGCGGGCGTCCTAAATAGATGCTGTCTGAATCCGAGCCAGTTTCAATTCACTCTCCCTGAAGAGATAAAAGCAGGGTGTGAAACATGTCCTCCCTGCACTGCACCTGCTTTCTCTCCAACTGTGTGTGTGTGTGTGTGTGTGTGTGTGTGTGTGTGTGTGTGTGTGTGTGTGTGTGTGTGTGTGTGTGTGTGTGTGTGTGTGAAGGACAGTTTTCGGATGGCTTTTCCAGCAGTAAAGTGCTGAGTGTGCCCCTTAGACAATTATCTCCTTATACCTCACTTGTCTCCCATCTTCCTCCTCCTACTCTTCCTCCTCCTACTCTTCCTCCTACAGCACCAGGGTTGAAGTCAGATGGTGTTTTCCTCTTCTTCTTCTTCTCAGCAAAAGTTCCTTATGGAGCGAAATGTGATGGTGCAACGGCCCAAAACACTTCCATTAGTAAGCTTGAGCTTCAGAAAGGATGCAGATATAAAAACCCAAATGTTCCTGTACTCATGAAGAAACATCTCCAGCAACTTGACAACACGTGCAGCTTTTAGAGAACATTCAGCACCTTGAGGAGACATGTGTTTACTAGAAGCTGCAGAAACCAAACGCTGAAGAAGCTCAGAACACAACTGAGACCAGGAGACACTAAAGAGTGACGCACACAGCTGGAGACCAGGGGACACTAAAGAGTGACGCACACAGCTGGAGACCAGGGGACACTAAAGAGTGACGCACACAACTGAGACCAGGGGACACTAAAGAGTGACGCACACAGCTGGGAGACCAGGGGACACTAAAGAGTGACGCACACAGCTGGGAGACCAGGGGACACTAAAGAGTGACGCACACAACTGAGACTAGGGGACACTAAAGAGTGACGCACACAGCTGAGACCAGGGGACACTAAAGAGTGACGCACACAACTGAGACCAGGGGACACTAAAGAGTGACGCACACAGCTGGAGACCAGGGGACACTAAGAGAGTGACGCACGACAAAACTGAGACCAGGGGACCACTAAAGAGTGACGCACCACAGCTGGGAGACCAGGGGACACTAAAGAGTGACGCACACAGCTGGGAGACCAGGGGACACCTAAGAGTGACGCACACAACTGAGACCAGGTGACACTAAAGAGTGACGCACACAGCTGAGACCAGGGGACCACTAAAGAGTGACGCACACAAACTGAGACCAGGGGACAACTAAAGAGTGACGCACACAGCTGGAGACCAGGGGACACTAAAGAGTGACGCACACAACTGAGACCAGGGGACACTAAAGAGTGACGCACACAGCTGGGAGACCAGGGGACACTAAAGAGTGACGCACACAGCTGGGAGACCAGGGGACACTAAAGAGTGACGCACACAACTGAGACCAGGGGACACTAAAGAGTGACGCACACAGCTGGAGACCGTTGTGTTTAAACCTCATAGTCGCCACATTTTTTGTAGACGGTGAAAAATACTCTGGAAATAGATGCACAATAACCAACAACATCATAATGTGTTCATGTTTTTTAAGCAAAGATTTTGATAATGTAAGACACCAAAGAGTAGCAATATAATCTTTGTTTTAAGCAAACAGCATCTGTTGATTTAAACAAAGATGAAAACAAAATAAATCGTGTTTTCTTTCCCTGGAGGAAGATAATGATTTCTGCCACGATGATAAAACAATACAGCTTCATAGAGCATGAAGAAGCCCTCACACACACACACACACACACACACACACACACACACACACACACACACACACACACACACACACACACACACAACACACACACACACACACACCACACACACACACACCACACACACACACACACACACACACACACCTTCATCATCTAATCATTTAAAGTGAATCGTTATGTCTGTATTCGTCCATCATCACCGTGATAACGCCTCTGTAAACACGGCTTCCCCGCACAAACAACAACACAACAATAAACATCCCACTGAGAGATTTCTTTATATAAAAAAAAACAATTGACTTCGCACTTAACATGCAAATTGAACAGCAGATGGTCCTTTCACTTCACCAGACACTTTTTTTTTTTCGTCTCAGGAACAATACAGACTCAAAACACGGGCAATAACTTTACGTGCAAATAAATAAATAAAAACAGAAATAAAAATAAACAACCTGGGAATTATTGTTTCTTAGCTTGTTTTTCTTCTCCAAGTCATTCAAAACACCCTGGGGGAATAATGTGTATATCCTCCATCCACTGCTTCTGTGTGTGTGTGTGTGTGTTTGTATTCATACATTTATGAGGACCAATGCCAGTTTTTAGACCCACTAAGTGAGGACATCTTCAAGTCACTTCTTTTAAATGCTTTTGAAGGTTTAAGACATGCAATAATCAATGAAGTTGAAGTAAGGATTGGGTAAGAAACAATAAAATCAGATGTAACAGTTAATCCTTGTGTTACATGTATTCTGTTAGCCCAAAATGTCACCTCTACTCTTGGTTTTTGCATAAAGTTTATAAAGCGTCACGATTTGAGATCCAAATCAGCCTTAAGAAGTTAACTGCACATAGGCATGCATTAGCCTTTAGGATTAAAACACCAATCCAACCGTGATAGAAAAATGCACGTTATAAATGAAAACTTTTTGTAAACATTTCATAGTTTTCTCTTTCCTTCATTTTGTTGACATGCCCCATATTTCGCTCGAAAAAGCCAGATGTCTTTGAGTCAATCTTGAGTTTTCTTTATCTTTATCCCTAAGCCAAAGCTCATGAAAACAGTACTTGTAAACATTCTACAAAATAAAGTTAAATAAAGAAGAGGCAGGGTGAAAAGTTTGAGGCACATAAACACTCACAAAACATAATTAATGGAAGTTGAGAATAAGTCACGTTGTCTGTTCCTGGATGAAACAGAGCCATAATGAACTGATTACTTGACATCTTTAGAGATAAGGTGAGGAAGAGAAATGTCACCATGTTGGACACAAAAGGAAAACATTGCAATATTACAACTTAACAAAAATTATGTTAAACTTCCATCACTCAGATATTAATCATTTGTCTACACGGCCTGGAAACATTTAAAAAAATGAGCATGTACTGTAACGAAGGCTGCAATTTGGACAAACTAAAACTAACAATTTTTGTAGAAACAGAGAAAACATTAACTATTTTCCACGAACAACCAGAGCCATCTCTTTCTGCTTCTTCCACAAAGTGTCTTTACAACAGGCTGCTTATGCTGATTGTGCCCATCTTGAGAATTGATAACTACTTTCCAAATAAAGTCATTGCTGTGCGCTGCGTTCCCAACTAAAATGACTAAATTATGTGCAGCACATTTTATAGAGCTCAGATTATTTTGACAGATGGAGAAGCAGATTTATTGCCAGAAAAACTGACAATAACACTAACTAAATGAATTCTGCATTTTACTGGAATTATTTTTTCTGCACACAGAATCCTGAAAGAACTACCCAATTAAATTAATTATATAAATTATGGGGTAAATATAAATTGTATTTAACCCTATTATTCACAGATTATATGAAACCGTATGCATGTCTTTAGACAAATTACAGATTTGTGAATGCTAAACCGACCCACTGTGCACTTAGAAAAAGAGAGTTTATGGTATTAATTAATTTAAATATAATTAGAATTTCTTAATTGGGAGAGTTCACTCAATTATCTCAATGTTCTCCATAACTGGTTCTCGTCAAATAACAATTATTAGGATGTTGTTTAAGTGTAAAATTAGGCTAAATTATTTAGAAAGATTGAAATATATCTGGCTTTAATGTACTTGTATTTCTCGAGAAAGGTGGGTCCACAATATGCAAAATAAATGGATAAATAAATGCAGGGAACTTGAGAAAGCTGAAGTTAAAAAACTTGGTCTGAATATGATTTGATTTAGTTTTATGTCTATTTCAACTTGTGTCAACATCCATGCAGTTTCAGCACATTTTAGATTTGGATGTTAGGGGGAAAATAAACATTTCAAATACATTCATTTACTTTTTTTAAAACCTGGACATACAGAAAAAACACATCAACAGTTCATCGTGCTGGTACTCAAAACACACACCTGCAACACCAACCAATCACGTCATGCTTCAACAACTTCACGTATCTTTTAAGTAAACCGTTGATCGTCCAAAACAACAGATAAAGCAGCTGCACACACCCTGTCTGCTGCAGCTCGGGGGGACATCAGATCTTTTGTACCGTTAAATGAAGTTTGGGGAGTGTGAGAAGAAAAATCAATATCGATCAATATCACCGCTTGACAGCTTTTTCTCCACACGCAATTGAAGACGCCCGGTAGCTTTTTTCTGTGTGGACAGAGATAACGTTTGAAGAGGAAGAGATAAATCTTTCTGGTTTAGAGTTAAATACAGATATCTTGAGATTTAAGGGAAGATACAGAATGAAAACCTCAGTTGTTGTTTCCCTGAATGTGTGTTAGGAGAAAGGCAGAGTAGTGCTTTACACAGAGGCTTTTAAATGCCTGACATCTTTACTAAATGTAGCAACATCCGGCTCAACTGTCTTACATGTTTTACATTAGCTTAGAAACAGATTTAAACTGTCTTCCCACTGGACACAGTCTGTTTCATGTAGAACTTAATTTTGTATTAATTGTGGTGGAAATCTCCGGCTTTTTGGGTAAATGTAATCCAATTCTTAAGGTTTTCCTGAAAGTTTTGAAATAATAAACCCTAACCCTTAATGCCATTGATTGGCTAACCCTGATATTCTTACCCTCATCCTAACCAATCCCACTACTCACGCCTAAAACTCAACCAATCCAACCAAGGAAGGCAACAAGTATTAACCAATCAGAGGCAGCATAGGACGGGTCATCTTTTGCTGTTATTCTACGTAATAGTTAGTCATTTATGCTTCTGTTTTGTGAAGGGAAAGTGAGTGCTTAAAGAACATGGCAATTTGTTTTTTGTTCAAATGAAACACTTTTGGGACCGTTGCCATTTCGGAAAAATTAGCAAAGAGTTTCAATAGAAATGTACAGACGTTGTTTCTCTTAGTTCCTTCATTTCAAATTAGGTTGACAAAACATATCCATACCAACAGATGGCAATACTTTATTTAACCTTATCTGATTTAAACCTGGCGCTACCCACACTTTGCATATTTGATGATCGTCTCAGTCCGATCCGTGCATCTTATTATCGATTTAAACCTTAATTGTGTTTCTTCAAATTGGCGGCATTACTCTTTTGATTCCGGCACAAGACAACAAAGCAAGGACACATTTCTGATGTATAAATGTAACCTGCTTCTCTGAGGTGATTCGTGTTTAGTTACAGCTTTTTTTATTTTGCGTACCGCTTAAACTGTGTCGTAGTCGTGACGTCGACACTCAAAGGGTTTATTCCACAATTAATCAATATTGGAAAAACATTGTCTTTGCAGTTAATGAATCTAATCTGTGTTGGTTTCTGTTGCTGTTGTTTTTTTATTTTAATTGGACAGAAACTTGCTAAATGTTTAACCCTGCTTCCAGTCTTTATGCTAAGCTAACGTGATAAGAAGTGTGTATGTTTAGTAATGGCAAAGTGTTAGGACAGAAACAGAAAAGCTCAAATACCTTTCTAACGTAAAAGCAGAACCTTACATTGAAGCCCAATACCTTATTTTACACTTCTACTCCATTTCCCTGCTTGTGTTAAAGCAGCCACTAACTTATTAAAGCAGAAACATGAATGGTAAACCAACTCTAAACAGGTGTGACAGAAGACCTGCAGGGTTACATCTCATTTTCAGACTCAAACACCCATAGCCATTAGCATTGTTTCTGACCAGCGCATGCTTTTACAGGTGCATTCAAGATGCATCCTCAAATCAAGCAGAAACCAGATTTCCCCCAGGTGTTTAAAAAAACATTAACTCTCAGGCGTCTGCTGCTGTTGGTTTGCTGTTCCCTGATTGGATGTTTTTGCACTTTTACTACAAGACCTGCTTCTTTTTTTTGGATAGCAGGCTAATCCGAGGAGACGCAAATCATGCTACACGGCGGTTAGCCTCGTCCCCGCCGAATTTATCTCTGACAGGCAGCTTCTCACAAAACTCTTCATCCACTTTTCTCCACCAGGAACCTCTGTTTTACTTCTCGTTATAAACACAAAAAATGACTCTCTGTTTTGCCTGTTCTTTGCACTCAAAGCCTTGTGTGATGAAATTGAACTTTTAGCACAAAAAGCTCCTCGAGGTGTCGCAGCAAACATGTTTTCAACGAGCATTTGTTCAGCGCTGCTAATGAAGTACGTTCCCGGTGGACATAGAGTCTCTTTTTCCCTCTAATTCTTAATTTCTAGAGTCTGTCCAGGTCTCTTTTCTGGCCCTACGGACTCTGCTGCTCCATGTTGTCGATTAAAGGTTCTTTCTTCATGAACTGGAGATGTCTGATGGACCTCCAAACCCCCAAATAGCTGTCACTGACCGACGGACCAGGGTTCGGGGCGGCGTTTTCCTTGTGAAGATGCTCTCGTTGCATCTCTAGCATTTCTGTTTCTGTCATAACATGGGGATTTGCCTCTGTTTCTCCGTTTCCTGTCCACGCATCTCCGTTAGCCACACCGTCCTGAACTACCTCCGTCTTCCCGTCACCAATCAACACCCCATCGACCTCCGTTTGTCCCGGATTAGATCCAGAATCCCCGTTTAGAGCCGGTTTCTCTTGGTGAGGCTCGCCAGGAAGCGCTCCGTCTTTCCCAGCTTCCTCCAGATCTTCGTACAAACTCATCTTCTTCGTCTCAAAGTATTTGACCACGCAGTAAGTGATGGAGCCGACGGTGTTGACCGCCACGCCGCCGATGAACAGGCGAGATGGCGCCACGTCGGTGAACGCCAGCATTCCCACCGTGATGGTGGCGATGCTCTTGACGACGCCGACGAAGCTGGTGGTGACGGCGGAGTTGATGTACGTGCAGTGAAGCGTCGTGAAGTTCATGAGACAGCCGATGAAGACGCAGCAGAAGAAGATGACGGTGATGTGGGGGTCCTTCCAGCCCTCGTACGACCACATGTTGACGGTGTCCAGGGAGATGAGGGAGCACACCAGCAGCACCTGAAGGGACAAAGAGAGAGGGCAAAAGTACACACATCAAAAAAGATCTTTAAAAATACTCTGGTAGAAGTAGAAGTACTGACTAAACTTCTTTACTCAAGTCAAAGTAAAGAGGGCTTTGAAATGTACTTCAGTAAAAAGTACCCATAACTAGCAGCTGTTTTAAAGAGTACCTGACCTCCCTTTATATTAATAGAACAATAATGTCATTGTTATCTAATGAATGTTTCCATGCTGAACAACGGCAACATGACAACGTTTTCATTGGTCCCTCTTCTTTAGAGAAGACCAGGAAATGATGGATACACGGATCGTGTTCAAATCAATAGGCACGCAATGACTCTAAATAATAATGATCACGCCACCAGACACACATTCAGACTAAAGGAACCAGCCTGTTTGGGAAATGTGAGAAGTAGAAAGTACAGGTATTTGTGTTCAACATGTAAGAAGTAGAAAGTACAGGTATTTGAGTTCAACATGTGAGAAGTAGAAAGTACAGGTATTTGTGTTCAACATGTAAGAAGTAGAAAGTACAGGTATTTGGGTTCAACATGTAAGAAGTAGAAAGTACAGGTATTTGAGTTCAACATGTAAGAAGTAGAAAGTACAGGTATTTGTGTTCAACATGTAAGAAGTAGAAAGTACAGGTATTTGGGTTCAACATGTAAGAAGTAGAAAGTACAGGTATTTGGGTTCAACATGTAAGAAGTAGAAAGTACAGGTATTTGAGTTCAACATGTAAGAAGTAGAAAGTACAGGTATTTGTGTTCAACATGTAAGAAGTAGAAAGTACAGGTATTTGGGTGTCAACATGTAAGAAGTAGAAAGTACAGGTATTGAGTTCAACATGTAAGAAGTAGAAAGTACAGGTATTTGTGTTCAACATGTAAGAAGTAGAAAGTACAGGTATTTGGGTTCAACATGTAAGAAGTAGAAAGTACAGGTATTTGGGTTCAACATGTGAGAAGTAGAAAGTACAGGTATTTGAGTTCAACATGTAAGAAGTAGAAAGTACAGGTATTTGGGTTCAAAATGTAAGAAGTAGAAAGTACAGGTATTTGAGTTCTACATGTAAGAAGTAGAAAGTACAGGTATTAGTGTTCAAAATGTAAGAAGTAGAAAGTACAGGTATTTGAGTTCAACATGTAAGAAGTAGAAAGTACAGGTATTTGGGTTCAAAATGTAAGAAGTAGAAAGTACAGGTATTTGGGTTCAAAATGTAAGAAGTAGAAAGTACAGGTATTTGGGTTCAACATGTAAGAAGTAGAAAGTACAGGTATTTGGGTTCAACATGTAAGAAGTAGAAAGTACAGGTATTTGGGTTCAACATGTAAGAAGTAGAAAGTACAGGTATTTGTGTTCAAAATGTAAGAAGTAGAAAGTACAGGTATTTGAGTTCAACATGTGAGAAGTAGAAAGTACAGGTATTTGAGTTCAACATGTAAGAAGTAGAAAGTACAGGTATTTGTGTTCAACATGTAAGAAGTCAAAGTAAAAAGTGGTAAGAGAAACTAAGATGATGGAGCACACCAGCAGCACCTGAAGAGACAAAGTGTCATTCTGTTCTCTCTGTGTCTGGACTTCCTTCCTGTGTTTTCCCTTCTGTGTATTTCATCTTGTCTTCCCTTGTGTTCCCTGTTCGGTCGTCGTCGTTTTCCGTGAGGTTTTGTCCTGATGTCCTGTCTACATTTCCCTGGTCTGCCCTCCTGTGTGTTTCTGGGTTGTTTGTTACTCTCCTTTCTTCCTCTTTGCCTGCTCCTGCCATTTTTTTTAATATTTAAACCAGCTTTTAATTTAATAAAATTCCCCACACCTGCCTCCACTATCTGGTGGAATTTGATGTATATATACATAATAATCATCCGGGAGAAATGGATTTACATTTACTGAATACAATGAGTTATATTGACTCAGATTTGAGCACCTATGATTACAATAAGACTTTATTGTCAGAAAATGTCAGATCGAGTCTGACATGTTTCTTGCATCACAGCAGCTCAATGATCAACATCACGATCCCTCAAGACCCTCTAAAGTCGGTTAGGGATTGAACTCATTCATTCATTTGAGGATTGACTGGTTTACAAAGGAGAGCTTCAGTCTGACTTTACTAAATCATGGGACTCTGTACCTCTGATTGGATGGCAGTTTTGACTTTAAAGCACTTGGTAAATATAGAGACTGTCATTTGAGATTTGTTATTTTGGTTTGGTTGTAGTGTTAGGAAAATGCACGTTTAAAAGTTGACTAATAGGTTAGATAAGAATTCTAGTTTTTGGAAGTAAACAACAACAACAACAGCTAATATCAAAGTCACACACTCCAAGTGTATAATGTCATGCTACTTCTACAGATATCTTTGCATGAGATATTAATACTGTAAGGACATTTAAAGCCATTATCGGTTGGATTTTTGTCGTTAGGGTTTTAACAATTTGAGGATTGACTGAACAAAGAAGAGCTTCAGTCTGACTTCATAGAATCATGGGACCCTGTACCTCTGATTGGATGGCAGTTTTGACTTTAAGGCACTAGAGACCAATGGCTTTAAGTCTATCCAATTATATAAGATGTCACTTTATCAATGCTTTCTTGTGTTTATGCCTAGCTCAGAGGTCAAGGTTCAAGGTTCGAGGTTAATTTATTTGCACATTTGAAGACACAGAGGCAATTCAAAGTGCTTTACATAGGCCTTTAACACATTATAATAATAAATATATATACAAAACACACACACAAAAACAAAAACAGCCAGTTCATAAAAGCGATGAAATACTGGCTGCAGCTCGAAGTGCAATGATAAGGCTAAAGGTTAAAGGATCTCAGGATAGGCTGCTGTAAAGAGAAAGGTGTTTAGGTTCCTTACCGGCGAGGCCATGATGGCGATGGAGTACTGAGCCGTTAGCGGACCGTACTCAGAGTCCAGACTCGTTTTCTGGATCACAACCAGGTACAAGGCGTGGATGATGACCGCCAAAACACCGGTGACGTAACCAAAGGGGTCGCCGGTGAGATCGCCCGCACCTGGACAGGAAACCAGGAGAAGATTGGAAAAAAAGTTTGTAAAAAACTGTTGGGAAAATCCTGAACGTACTCTTCCAACATGAGAGCAACGTGATAACAAAGGTATCCCAACTGTAGCTGTGAACATGACAGGATGTATGATTACCTAGAAGAGCATCAGGACTGTTTGAGGCATATGATAGCTATGTGATTAACATGATGATTCAGCCTCTATGGAGATAGACATATGACAAGCATGCTCATTTCTGACGTGGAGCTAATCTGAAGTAAACATTGAATACTGCTTTCTATTCCTCCATCTTGTGACTGTGTAACTCCCTCTCTTGGATATCAGCATGTGAAGGACACTGTTCAGGAACTAGTTGATGCTCTGTATGTGATGACTACTTCCATTCTGGAGAGGATCACAAATACATGGATCCTGAGATTGAAGCTCAAGCCGGGGACCAGTGAGAGTTTTCCAACAAAAACATAAATCAGAATCAGGTTTATCACCGGGTAGTTTGACACGTACGAGGAATTTGACTTGGTGTTGTGGTGCCTACATAAAAGTAAAACAAAAAAACAGATAGAGAACTATTTTAACATTAAAAAATAATAAAAATATAGTAAAATAAAATATAGCAGTATTTACATGAATGGAATAATAATCCTTTGATGTAAATGTATATTTGGATCAGATCTGTGGTCCTTTTAAGACGAATCATTTGAACATTGTGAATGTGATTTATAATTTTGTAATTAAATCCAAGCATTGATTTTTGAGGAACTGCAAATCTCCACAGAAATCAAAGGCAGTAAATGTTCATGTTCAGTCGCGTTTTATGGGGATTTCTGATGGAAATGCTGCACAGAAATCAATCAGAATCAATCATTTTAATGACTTCCAACACATGACAAATACATCATCCAACGAGGATAGAACGATGTGATCAGCTTCAAATTCTTCTCAACAAATCCCATAAAAAGACTCAAACAGTGAATCTCCAAGAAAGTATTGTGAGTTTTTCAAATAGTTTGAATATTTTGTGAAAAAAAAAAAGTATTTGGAAAAATCCTGTAATTGTATTATGAGAATATATCTGAAAAACTTTGAGGGTGAAAAAGTCATAATATTGGGGGAAATAAAGTAAACAATAATCTAATAATTCAAGAAAAAACGTTGTAATAATGCAATAAAATAATCTTTTAATATTTTTCAGAGAAAGAAAGTTGATATTGTTAGGGAATAATTTGCTTAGGTATTCAACCTTCGACCCAGTTCATCGTTTTCTCTCTCACTGTCTCTTTTCCCACGGCATAGGTCTACGGCCTGGGGTATTGCTGCTATCTCCCTTAAGGGGGAGGAGCTTGGGTATTGCTGCTATCTCTCTTAAGGGGGAGGAGCTTGGGTAGTGCTGCTATCTCTCTTAAGGGGGAGGAGCTTGGGTATTGCTGCTATCTCTCTTAAGGGGGAGGAGCTTGGGTAGTGCTGCTATCTCTCTTAAGGGGGAGGAGCTTGGGTAGTGCTGCTATCTCTCTTAAGGGGGAGGAGCTTGGGTAGTGCTGCTATCTCTCTTAAGGGGGAGGAGCTTGGGTATTGCTGCTATCTCTCTTAAGGGGGAGGAGCTTGGGTATTGCTGCTATCTCTCTTAAGGGGAGGAGCTTGGGTATTGCTGCTATCTCTCTTCAGGGGGAGGAGCTTGGGTATTGCTGCTATCTCTCTTAAGGGGGAGGAGCTTGGGTATTGCTGCTATCTCTCTTAAGGGGGAGGAGCTTGGGTATTGCTGCTATCTCTCTTCAGGGGGAGGAGCTTGGGTATTGCTGCTATCTCTCTTAAGGGGGAGGAGCTTGGGTAGTGCTGCTATCTCTCTTAAGGGGGAGGAGCTTGGGTATTGCTGCTATCTCCCTTAAGGAGGGGCAGCTTGGGTATTGCTGCTATCTCTCTTAAGGGGGAGGAGCTTGGGTATTGCTGCTATCTCTCTTAAGGGGGAGGAGCTTGGGTATTGCTGCTATCTCTCTTAAGGGGGAGGAGCTTGGGTATTGCTGCTATCTCTCTTAAGGGGGAGGAGCTTGGGTATCACTGCTATCTCTCTTAAAGGGGAGCAGCTTGCGCGCATTGTTGTTGCCAGTCTATGACAGAGCACAAGCCGCCATGAGGTAGTTCCCTGGCGCACATTCTTTCCTATGGACGACAGCTCTAGTTAGATTCAGGGTCCATATTTGTTTCGTCTCGCTGATAAAGAATGTTGATTATTACACTCTAGTTAAAACCTCGAGCTACAGAAGAGTTCTTTAGAATCGGTTTGGCAACCGCCGTGTCAACTCGTGACACACCACCTGTCTCGTCAATTCTCCGGCCATAACCCCAAATAAACCGTCAGTGTTTGCCATCAAAGCTCCAGCTCTCCTCGTGTCTCTCTGAGTCCTGACTCCAATTGATTCAGGAGTTTCACTCACAGATATATTTTAAGAAAAACCCTCTAAATATAGAGGCTGTAAATTGAGACAAATGTGTTATTTGTGTTTTTAATTTTAGCTTTCGAAATAAAATGTATTTGGTTGTAGAGTTAGGAACATGCACGTTGACCAATAGGTTAGATAAGAATTCTAGTTTTTGGAAGTAAAGAACAACAACAGCTAAAGTCACACACTATAAATAATGTCATGATACTTCTACAGAAATCTTTGCATGAGGAATTTTAAAGTCATTATCTCGCTAAGAAACACTTTTTTCCTCGCTTTCTGAAAAATGTCCCACATTTATCCACTTTTTCGGCTACAAATGCAAAATGAGATGAACTCCTGAAATGAATCCACGAAAGAAGGAATCAGTCCATTAGTTTGATATTCTGCACATTTCACACTTCATGTCTCAGCCCCCCTGCATTGATTCAGGAAATGAATTAGCCGTGTGTTTTTGTTTATTACTCCGAGATCATTAACAGTAATGGAACGGAGATAATTTACAGCCGGGGAACGAGATGAAATGATCTTTAGAGGACAGGAAGTAAAAGGTTAAACAGCTGCTGTAGGAGTGATCTGAATTAAGAGGAGTGGGACTATAGGGAATCATAAATATGTTCGGCATGCTATGATGTGTTTGCGGTTGTTTTAAACATTGGGCTGTAAACATTATCTGAAGTGTTGTCCTGTTATTTATCGTCGTTCTTTATTTATCTTGTGTTCGTTTTGTTGTTTTAGTCTAATGAGTATTATCAACTTGTTTATTTTCTACTTTTGAATGCTGTTTCATTTCTTTTTTGAGATGTTTAAATGTTAGAATTGTTCATTTCTACTTTTTCAATTTCTACTTATGTGAATTGCCTCTTGTTTGTATGCTGCTTAACCCCCTGAAACCCACATAGGACATTTCCGTTTTTGTATATTTCTGTGTTTTGCCTTATAAATGGTCATTTCTTTACAGTATAATCAAGTGTTACACATCCCAGAAATCAGCACAACCTCAGTGAATGATATATGTGTGTCCGATTCAGAAGCGTGACTCTTACACTCTTTACGTCACAAACAAAGATGGTGGATGAGACCTATAAAACATACAGAAAACGATAAGCAATGCGCCAGAATCAAGGTGAGACTATCCGCATCTTTTAAAACTCTACGCACATTCGTTTCACCGAAATACGTAAACGCCTCTCAATGAAAAACTTAATAGAGTTGTTTATTGCCGTTTCTTTAGTTTAAGAGGAAACACACGGCATGTCTCTGACTCAAACAGCTGAGAAGTTATGACGCTTTGAACACCACGTGATATTTGGGATCGTATACGGCCCCGTGGGTCTCAGAGGATTAACACAAATGTTCACAATTTGGGATCAATAAAGTACATCTTATCCTATTACCGTTATTTCACTTTATTTTTGGATTTTACTTTTCGGTGATGGGAATGCATCTGTCCTTTATCTGCAACATTAGGCTTATTGTATTTGTTGTTGTTGTCATGTATACAGTTGACTTCTCCTGCATTAGCTGCACATTGGTCTTATAAATGAAATGATCTGCTGTATTTAATTGTTTTTAAAATGTAGATGTATTGTTTTATGTCTTATTTGTATTGATGTTGGATTGTTGGAGGAGCCAGGGACTTGTGCATCTGATAATAAAGCTTTGAACGTTTAAATCAGGGTTGTCCAAACTACGGCCCGGGGGCCATTTTGAATCGGCCCTCAGCAAATTCAAAAAGTAAAATGGAGTATGGCCAACAAATGAAACTTCTTCTTGTCTTATATTGTACTTCTTAAATATAGAAGCCCACTTTTCAAACAAATTCAGTCAATTCAAGTTGAAAACATTTTCTATCAAATCTAGGTTGATAAGAAAAAAGCCCAATAACTCATTTTCATAACACGCTTGAAATAAACCCTTCCTATCTCCTCTTATTATCATCAATCTGAAGCTTCTGTTTTAAGGAATGAGCTGCTAACAAAATAAATGAAACCCTCTGGAGAGCTGGGATGGAGGCTGTTGTTTTTCTTAAAGCATATTCAAGTATTAAGCATCATTACCTACATTTGATTAATTGTGCTAACTTATGAGGCGATAAACCTCTAGTGAGCGGCCCAGCCCTTCGTATATTTTTCTGTATGTGTCTCCGGCCTGTATCTGGAGCTATAAGAAAGGTTGTTGTTGTGTGTGTTTTACCGGCCAGAGCAGCGCCCCCTGTGGTGATGATGACGGCGATCGCCACGCCGATGGACGGGATGCCGTTCCTCAGCACGCAGACGCCGATGCTGAGCGTGAAGAGCGGCAGGCAGCGCTTAAACACCACGTACATCGGGAGGCTGAGGCCGCGCAGAGACCACAGAGTCAGGGTGGACTGCAGCGTGGACAGGATACACACCGGGCCAAACTCCTGCACACACACACACACACACACACACACGTTTAAATCATTACATTACATCACATTTAGGGGACACTTTTATCCAAAAAGTCAATTTTGAGAAAAAAGTAAAATATTTGAGAAAAAAGTAAAACATTTGAGAAAAAAGTACAAATTCTGAGAAAAAGTAAATGTTGAGAAAAAAGTCAAAAAACTGAAAAAAGTCAATTCTGAGAAAAAAGTTCTTAGATTCTGAGCACACACACACACACGTCAGTATCATTACATTACATTTCATTTAGCGGACACTTTTATCCAAAGCGACGAACAATAACTGATATCTAAATTCACAGAAAAAGTGAATTTTGAGAAAAAGGTCAAATTTCTGAGAAAAAAGTCAAAATTCTCAGAAAATGTAAATTCTGAAAAAAGTCGATTTTGAGAAAAAAGTCAAAATACTGAAAAAATAATGCAATTTTGACAAAAAGATTGCGAGAAATAAGTAAATTCTGAGAAAAAAATGTATTCTGAGAAAAAAGTTAAAATTATGGGTAAAATGTCCAAATTGTTCAGAAAAAAGTAAATTCTGAAAGTCCAGAGTGAAATATCTGAACCAATAGCAGCCTGTAATCTGGTGTTCACTTTGGAGATCACCTGATCTATTTTCAGGCACCAGCAGCAGTTTCCACGACACAAATATCCTCTGAGTGATTGTGGTCAGAATAGCCTTTTTAAACCCAAGTATACATATTGTTACTTTTTCTAAACACAACCTGTCCAAAACCAATACATGGGCAGTGTTGACGGTTTCAGTTTATATCAAACATTAAAGTAGGGGGCGCTGTCGCGGCACAAACTATAATACAGTTTCTCCTTTTTAACTACATTGTCCACTATATTGTTACAACCATGAAGAGGATAGTGAACTCATTTATAAAGATATTTAAATATCAATTCATCGTTGCATTGCTTTCCTGTTTTCTACATGATTTCTGTTCCGTTCTGTTTTTAATGTGCATTTCACATGATGTTATAAACAGTCCTCAGTGGATCTGTCCGTCAGTCAATCATCCACTGGAGGAGTCAGTCAATCATTACCAAAGACGATGATAAGGTCACTTTTATCAGTGTTTCCGTTAACACATGTTGATGGTGAGGAATATTCTCTCGCTCTCTGTGTTCAGGAACATAAAGGGAAACCCAAAAGAATTAAAGTATTTTAACAATTAAAACGATTGATTTGATTTTTGCACATCCAATAAGCTAAATGATTTTGTAATGAATCGACGCTCGGCTACTTTTGCATGTTTAGTACTTTTAACTAATTCAACTATGATAAGTAAATTATAATAAGTCTTTAGTTTAGGTAGATTGTAATTCCTCATAAAGATTGCAGCTGGTACAAAGTGAACTACAAACACCCCTGGAAGTGTCTGGGAATCACCAAGTATCATGTGTTTGACCGTATTGTATGCTTGTACCCTAACCCTGACTAACTTAACTTAAGTTTGTATTTGTATTTACCTTGGAGAGCTGCACGCTGAACGGCGGCACGTTGACCTTCCCCAAACGGCGCAGGAGCTCCAGAGTGAGCGCGGCCGTGGAGCTGGTGAGCAGCTGGATGAGCGTCAGGTAGTTGAAGTGGTAGTTACTGATGAGGAACTTCAGCAGGATGTTCAGGGATCCGGAGAACACGCCGTGCGCAACGGCCACTCCGATGCCCAGGTAGCGGCTCTTCATCACATCCATGACGAGAGGCTGAAAACGCGGCTTCACAGAGAGTCATTCAGGGGGGGAGAGGAAGAGGGCGAGGGGGAGGAGGAGAGGAAATACTGTGGGTGAAGAGAGCGATCAGGGAGAAGATTTGGAGGTTTGGAGGCTTTTACGCACGGCTGTATGGAGAGGAGAGGATTGATAAGAGGCTGAAAACGCGGATTCAGAGGGACTCATTCAGCGGGGAGAAGAGGGAGAGAGGAAATCCTGTGGGTGACGAGGGAGGGCTTTGTCCCGGTGATCAGGGCGAAAGTTTGGAGGTTTGGAAGCTTTTACGCACGGCTGTACGGAGAGGAGAGGAAGGACGAGAGGCTGAACACGCGTATTCAGAGAGAGTCTTTCAGGGAGAGGAAGAGATGAAGGTGCCTCCCACAGCCCGGGGGGGAGAGAGGGAGAGACCCGGGGATCAGGGGGGAGGTTTGGAGGTTTTTACGCACGGCTGCGACGCGCTGCTGGAGAGAAGCTGAAACCGCGTCAATCTGCACTTTCAGGAAAGAAATAATCAAAGTGAGATGTGAAGGATCAGCTGACTCTCCAGTCTTCAGTTTAAAAGTGCAGTTTGGCTCCTTTTTCAGCTTCAAATCCTCTGTGTGTGAGCAGTTCCCACTCTGACTTCATGCAGACTCTGCATTTCTGTTAAAAAAACTAAACAAAATGCTCCAGAAACTGATAAAAGGAGGAAGAGGAAGGAAGTGCTTCCTGCAGCAGCCGATGTGTTCAGGTACAGCAGAGGAGAGTCCGTCCTCTGAGAGCTGCCCGGGAAATATGACATTTTGCCGCAGCGCCTCTTGGCTGAGTACCTGAGAGAGAGAGAGAGAGAGAGAGAGAGAGAGAGAGAGAGAGAGAGAGAGAGAGAGAGAGAGAGAGACAGAGAAGTAGATAGACTAAAGAGGTCTATCTCTTGTCTGCTCTTTCTCCTCTCTCAGCTATCTCTCTCTTCTCTCTCTCTCTCGCTCTCTATCTCTCTCTCTATGAGAGAGAGAGAGGGAGAGCGAGGGAGAGGGGGAGCTAATAAAACCATCCAGAGAAACCAGCACTGATGCTTCTCCCTTAGACAAAACAGAGTAGAAACCCTTCTCATGAAGCCTCATTGAGATCCATTCATTCATTCATGCTGTAGTTTTTACAGAAAGATCCATTTACTGCAGTTCCATTCAGGACAGCAGGTCACTCTGTTGGCACAAACCGCTGTGTACGCTGATTAGGGAAAACTCTAAAGACAGATATATAACATGCAGAACCTCAAGAAACTAAGAGTCGTGAATTAATACAAAATGAAACGTGGAAAAGTTGTTTATTCTCTAAGTGGGTGAAGTACCTAAAACAAGGTTTTTTGAGAAAAAAGTAAACTTTCTAAGACAAAAGTCCATTCTGAGAAAAAAGTCAATTTTGGGTCGTAATCGACTTTTGAAAAAAATGTAAAGATTCTACGAAAAAATTCAGTTTCGAGAAAAAATTCAATTCTGAGAAAAAGAGAAAAATCTGGAAAAACCAGGTTTCCAGAAACCAAGATGCATTGCCTTAACATTTGATAGAAATAAAAGAAACACAGAAGAAAACATATATTTCAGTTCACTGTTATTGAGTACAGGAAAGGGTTTTTAAACGTTCCAACCTGCAGATTATTTGGACACAAATACGATCTAAAACACGCAGATCCCTTTTTCAAAGAGTCAAACCAGCAACACAAACATCAAGACAGGCTGAAGCTATCCAGCTATATCCGTCAATTCATAAAACTACTGTTTAGAAGTGCCTGAAACCAGGTGTACAGTTCGGAGAGATCCAACACCTTCTCACTCCTAACTCGTCCTATAGTGACGTTATGTCAGGATCCCTTGACGTCCCTTTCTAGCGCTCTGGGAAGCCCTTTAGCGTCGACTTTCTACTATCAGGGATCCCTTAGACTTACAGCTCCCTGAACGTCGGCAATAGACGACTTGAGATCTCGGAGAAATGCTCTCCGCTGACCCGTTCTCACAGCGTTGGTATCGAGTAAGAAACAAGTTGATAAACTCTTTTTAATTTCTCCACGATATCAAGTCGTCTATTGCCGACGTTCAGGACCAAGTCTAAGGGATCCCTGATAGTAGAAAGTCAACGATAAAGGGCTGCCCAGAGCGCTAGAAAGGGACGTCAAGGGATCCTGACATAACGTCACTATAGGAGTGAGAAGGTGTTGGATCTCTGCGAACTGTACACCTGGTTTCAGGTACTTTTAAACTTCTTTTAATTTCTATCAAATGTCTATCAAATGCATCTTGGTTTTTGTAGATGCTTCTGTAGACCTTGTATTTATCCACTCCAATTATTTGTTAACAACCTTTGCACGTTTGAGTTTTTTATAAATTCAAGGGATCCCGACATAACGTCAATATATGTCGAGTTGGGAGTGAGACCGTGTTGCGAGATCACGTCTTATATTATCAGTGGACTTTAAAGTAGTGTTAGTAAATGTGGAACCACTGGCTCTTCTTCACCACAAGATTCACTTTATGTTTCCTCGTTGTAGGACATTTGGATTGAGCATCCGTGAAATAAAACATGATGCAGCGTCAGGGATTCCCTTCACTGCCAAGAAGAAGAAAAGCTCAGATAATCCTTTTCCTCTCTGGAGTTTGGATATCCATAAAACAGCTAAGAAGGTATATCTGAGAACATAAACAAGAGCTACGACTCAGCAACAAATAAACCCCACTGACGCTTTCCAACTCTACTTCTGTAAGAAACTACGTCCAACCCCCTGCTGTGTGGAGGTTTTGGAACAAGTCGTATTGATACTTAGGTGGTTGTTCGACTCATACATCGGCATTATCCCCGGTAAGCGTGGTATTTGATTGATTATAAAGAAAAAAGCATACTTTTACTTTTAGTACGCATTGTATTTGCTGTTGCATGAGTGGAATAGCGTGCATACAGTCCTCCTTGTTTACTCCTCATTTCTGCAAAACATACTTTTATATCCCGTCAATTTTTTTTAGCTGCAACATGTTTTCATTTACAGGAAAACATTGCATTTTCCAATGAAAAATAATTGCATTTCCTTCTAAATATGAAAGAGTTTGTTGATTTAAAATCTGGCACATCAGCATATTCAAATCCTTCCGTCTCTCTTCTCACACTTCAACACTTCACATCTGTTTTATCAGCGTGACAGATTAAGGATTTATAAGATCAATCAAATCAGAAAATAAACAGATACGAGATTAAGACATCAACAGATTCTGTGAGGATGTATTAGCACGTAGAAGCTGAAATAGGCTCATCTCATCACAGACGAACAAGCGGAGGAGTTTCATTTCATATTATTTAAAATGTCAAAAAGTTAAAATACCTGATATGGGGCGAAGCCTGCGAGCTAGTTCAGGCAGTCAACTCGAGCACCAGTGAAACATGAACACGTGACGCGTCTCTCTCACAACCAACCAAACACAATCTCCTAAACTTGCCGCTCTATGTAAACTGCCAGGTCTGCTGCCTCTGCCTCGCTATGCTGCGGCGCTGTCACATTGCTGATGCGTTCACATGCTGCTCGCCTGCCCCCCCACCACCCCAGCTTCCACCCCCCCACCACCCCAGCTTCCACCCCAGCTTCCAGCTTCCACCTGTAGGCTCGGGGGATAGTTACAGTATCTAATCATCACTCAATGTTCTTTGTAAATCTGTGGAGTGATGAGGCCCGAGCCTAGACGCCAAACTCAACTATATGCTGCTTCTAATAAACATATTAAGAACACGTGAGTCTGACTGCAATATTTTAACTTTTGAGTGTCGAGTTGAAGGTAACTTTAAGTTAACTGTATTTATTGTTTTGTTTGTATTACCTCTTTTAATATGAATACTAATAATAAAATGTATTAGTTTATAATTATTTTGATTCCTTTATAATTTATTTAGAGAAGAAAGGAATGATAAAAATAATTTGAAGTTTGCCAACACTTGTCCTTGCAGCAGCCAATCACAGCCCTCTGTGCTGATGATGCGTGAAGGGGTCCTCTCTGCCCTGCAGCCAATCATCTACAGGGAAAACCTCCTCCTCTTCCTCCTCTTCCTCCTCTTCCTCCTCTTCCTCCTCTTCCTCCTCCTAACAGGCGTGGAAATGACTTGGAGAATATTTTTAATTGAAATATTTCATCAGAAAACCATCTTCCAGCCACGGGGGAGAAAGAGGAGGCAGACTATTAGCTTCCAATTAACAGAGGCGTTCAAACGGGAGAGATTACCACCGGCCGAGGGTTTAGGGAAACTAATGCTTGCCTCCATTATTCCTGGAACTACAGCTCTCACAGATTAGAGCGAGTCATTTCACTTAAAACACAGAATGGAGCCCATCGTCACGAGGAGATTCATATGGAGCGAGAGAACCAGGAGAAACGCATAGAAGTGGTGCAACTTCTGCAAATGTGCAATAAAAATCTACATTGTCTGGGATATCTGTCTGTTGGTTTACAAACTGAATGTGCAGACAGGTTGGGGTTTCCATTTGCATGTCTATAAATAATTAAAAAGGGAATAGCAATCAATTACATCCTATTTTCTTTGTATTTTTCACACACATTTCCTGCAAAATAGAAGTTATATAAATGTCAAGGAAAGGATGCAAAACATTTGCAAAAAGTGAGTGCAACTTCTTCAAATATCATTAAAATTGTATTTTTTGTCTGTTGTTTTGTTGGTTTTAATGTTAAATGTGCAAACATATATAGTACATATTTTACTCTCAGTAAAAACATTCTTGTGTTTTCATTTGCATTTCCAATTAACAAGGAATAACATTCAATTCAATCATATTTCTAGAAAGACAATAGCAAAATAGACGTTTTTTCACGTGTGATTTTGCAGAAAAAGGGAAAAGAAATTGGAAGACATAAAATATGTTGCACACAATCACAGTGGACGAGGAGACACATATAAGTGGTGCAACTTCTGCACATGTGCAATACAAATACATTTTTTTGGGGATATGTGTCTGTTTGTTTACAAGCTGAATGTGCAGACAGTTTGTGTTTTCATTTGCATTGTTTTGTAAACAATTGACAGAATAGCAATCAATTCAATCATATTTTCGTTGTATTTTTGAGACAACTTTCCTGCAAAATAAAGGTTTTCCAAACGTGATTGTGCAGAAATGTAAAGGAAACGCAAAAATAAAGTATGAAGGACAGGAAAAAATGGGAAGACATAAAATATGTTACTTAATCAGAGAGAATTAATCAGAAGAACAAAATGTGCAAAAAGTGCAACTCCTGCAAATGTGCAATTAAAACTCTCATTATTTAACATTTCTCTGTTGGTTTATGTGCTGAAGGTGCAGATGGGTTTACATCATTCATTTTGTCTGTTTGTTCTTGGCCATTTGAGAGTATCTATGAACGCCGTCAATGAAACCAACACAAGATGCCTGACCAGAAACAGCTTACAGTGAAAACAAAAGGTCTTCATATCTAGTTTTGCGGCGGCGGCGGCGTCTCATGAACAGGATAGCATTCAATCAACAAAGGAAACAAAGAGGAGATGAATGAATGTACAGGAGAGAGAAGAGAGGGATGACGACGAGAAGAAGGAGAGAAAAGGAAAAGGTAAAAGAAATGGAGAGTAGAGAGAAGAGAGGGAAAGGAAGAGGGAAAGGAGCACAAACACAAACACAGATAAAAAGAACAGGGTCAAAATAAAACAAGATAACGGGGAAGGTGAAGAAAGACGAGACGACAGGAAGTGGGACAGATCGTGACAGACAGAAGGGCAAGAGGAGATTAAAAAAGTGAGGAGGAGGAAGAGGAAGAGGAGGAAGAGGAGGAGGTTTTCCCTGTAGATGATTGGCTGCAGGGCAGAGAGGACCCCTTCACGCATCATCAGCACAGAGGGCTGTGATTGGCTGCTGCAAGGACGAGTGGGGGAGATCCGTACGACACACATACACCTACACACACACACACACACACCATCGTCACGAGGATCCTCATGGCACAGCTGTCCTCTCTCTTTTAAGGCTGCAGCTAACTCTTAAATCTCCTCTTAAATCGCTAATTTTATTGAATGGTTATGAAAATGTTTGCAATGTTACAGCTTCAAGTTAAAATTGCATGTATTTATTTTTTCTAAGATGTTTCTTTTGCATGACTTCAAGGTTTTTTCTCAAGCCCTTGTTTTTGAAATGTGCTTTTGAAACTTCCCTTGCATTGGGACACTGTAAAAGAGTATTTTTAGACTTTGCTTTTGCTGCCGTTACTGGAAAGTGGGAAAAATAATGAATAAATGCAGCTTTAACAAGTTCAAATAGCTGTGCCCACATTCGATCCTTAGTAACTGAATCTTGGCTATTAACTATTGAGTTGCACCGTATTGAAGTGGCCTACAAATAAATGTTATTATTAAGATTATTACATTAAATGTGTGGTAGAGAAACCCCCTTTGCAGCCTTTTCATACCAGTTACATGCACCTATAGAACACACTACAGGAAATAGAAAACCCCAAAAGCATAATAGGGCCTCTTAAATATTTTTCTGCTCTTGTTAAAATTGATATTTTGGAATATCCTTTAAAAATGTCCTTCCTAAACGTCTGAATGAAAATGTTCTCTTGATTGCAGCATTGTGTGTTTGCGACTCGTAGAGCATTACCCTCGATATCATCTTCATATGATATTTGCATTTTTATTGAAGGCACTGCACGTACAGATCATCATCCACTAACACATCTGCACTGATGGCATTTCAGCGGTGAAATTAGTCACAGTTTACATTTTGTTTTCTTCAGTCAAACAGAGTATCAGTGAGATAAAACAGAAACACATAATCACATGGATGTTATGGATCATAAAGACATTATGATTTACATAATTCATTCACAGGAAAGTCAACACGACCAAGCTTGGATTGAACATTTTGAATCGTTTGGGAATTAAGTTAAAGTGCAAATCGCCTGCTGATGATGCGTGTGTGTGTTTGTTTTCACCCCTTTGTGGGGACTACAACAGGGAATTTCCTTATGGGGACAGCAAGAAAACTTTACATTTTAGGGATAAGATTTGTTTTTTAAGTTCATGGTCATTATTAGGACTAGTTAAGGTCAGATATAAGAAAAAGCACTGGGGTTAGGCAGTTAAAAAGTTATCGTTTTGGCAGTGGTCCCCAGATTGTATGTGTGTGTGGCAGGTGGGCCAGCAGGGAAAGGGCTAAATAAAGATGCTTTGAAATAAAAGCAATGGAAAGCTTGTGGAAAATCTGTGAAATATTAGAAAATATAAGAACTATAGTTTAAATAAAGTTATGTATTTATATTTAGCGCCCCCTACAGTTTTGGAGGGTAATTACCTTTTAATCGCTGTTGAAAATATGAACAGTTGTTACTTAACACTTTTCATTGTTATGATTACATTACTGATGTTCAAGAATTAGCAAGTCTACAACTTTGCAAACAACATGAGACAGCAAGGCAGATAAAATTGCTAAAACAGTTCGGGCAGCACAGCTATCTGAGCTAAAAGCTAACTAGCTAACGGTGGTTTATCTTAAAGGTAGTTAGTGTTACTTCAGCAACAAGAAAAGCTTTATGTTCATCAAAACTCTGGGAATCACAAAGAGTTGACGCAGAACAGGCAGAGGAAATCAGATGGATAACCAGAAACATTTTTTTTCCCGTAAAGTATGATCTAGTTTTACCAAATTAATTTACAGAAGTTACAAAATTGTAAGACATGCTAACCTAAGGTACATTGTGCAAGAACAGGCATTCTTGGTGCATAATACCATGACATAACACATTTGTTTAGGTAAAGTAGTTACATAATGTTCATTGTGGATGTTATAAAGATTGAAAAGACTCCAAAACATATGAAAATAACCTTCAGAAAATGAAAGCAAACGTGTGTGTCAGTGTGTGTGTGTGTGTGTGTGTGTGTGTGTGTGTGTGTGTTCTAACGTGCTGTACTTTGTGTTCCTGCAGACAGACAGGCAGGTGTGTAGATCTTCACCGTCTCATCCCAGGAACAGTCCACCACCTGCAGAAAACACAACACAACACACACCTTTAGAGACATATGGTATACCTGAGGACATTACCTGAATACTGTTGATAAAAAGTCTGTCTTTGTCACTAGCCAAGTCCCCAGAGGATACATTATTAGCATAAGTCTCTACAAAGCTGCTAGCATAGCTGTAGACTACTTTAAATACAAAACAATGTTTTTGGTTTTGATGTTTGCCACAATTGAGATGTATCATGCCTTTGAAATTCAGATATCCTGCACATACATTTGAATTGGCATGTTTTCAATGTTCTGCCTTGTCTGCATGGTTATAATAGCCTTTTCAATTGTTGAAATTGTGATTTCTTTCACATAACTTCTCTTTCTGTGTTCATGTATGCAAAGCCCCCATTTATAAAGCCAAATATAACCAATAACACTGGGCTTTACCATCTGTTTAGCATATAACACCCTCTTGTTTAACATTAAAACAATTTGAATCATGTTGTTTTCAATATTCTTTGTAATATTTCAATATTTGTGCACATTTGTACGTCTCAATTTCTCATTCTTAGTATACAGTATGTCTGCACCTTTATAAACCAAAGAATTCCTCGTATGTCAAAACCTACTTGGCAAAAACCGAAATTCTCATTCAGAAAACCTACATAATTTCTACCAGAATCCAGTGAAAAGCTCCTTTATGACCATGAGGGCTGAATGCTATTAAGTATAGTGCAGTGACAGGGTGAACACACACACAAGGACACACACACAGTTTCTCTGCAGAGAGTGTGGTCCTGTTTTCTAAGTGCAAGTGAAATAACCTGACCTCCTCTGGCACACACTTACATCAAAGTGTTCGTCCTAAATTACCTTCCATTATCAGTATCAGCCGCTGGACTCCTGTAAAGACGAACATCTGTCTCCTGTCCCTCTTTATCATCCATTTTTGTTGTCTCTTCCTCTCTTTCCAGCAGTGGCAGAACATACTCTATCACTGTGACTCTCTATAAGATATTTTGCATCAGACGTTCCTCATCGAGAGCAATTAATCTCTTTGCTTTCATCCTTCTCCTCTAATGTATACTCCTGTCTCGAGGCAAAACAATGCAGAGTGTAACCTTTAATCATGTTTCTCTTGGGGAAAAGGTCAAACTGAGAAATATAACATGTGATAGAGGGTATTCGTTTTAGTGAGAATATATTAATAAGGACACTCAGCTGCAACATTGGTATAAACTCTTACTCATTGTAAATCTACATTATTTTAGAATTGTTAAGGTTTTTTGCAGCATTTTCGTCATCTAGTGGTCCAATCTTTGCATCACAAACAGTTTTCATGCGTGCAATTTAAGACATTAAAGGTAGGGTAGGTAAGAATGGAGAAACCAGCTCGAGTGCGCTAGAATTTGAAAGTACACAACCGGAGAAAATCTGCCACTTCCTTCAGACATCCTTACAGAGCCCCTCCTCCAACACACACGAACGCGCACATGACCAATGAGGGCACGAGATAAGTTTGTGCACAGATGGAAGGCTGACAGGCAGGTAGGCCATCCAGTTATTTTAGCCGGTATTTTTACAGTACCACGGCTTCCACAGAAGAATTTTTTGTATGTATTTATTGTCAAAGCATTTAATATATTCATTGCTATCGGGATGTTAAGAGCATTCCATGGAATATAACAACAAGTGTTTCTGAAGTGAATTACCTACCCCACCTTTAAGTTCATAAGGTCCAAAAGCTTATGATTTCACCTGTAACTGCTGAACAAAAAGGCTACCAACCACCATTTGGGCCCACACAGGAAGACAGGGGTTTGCATGCATTTAAGTTTTGGTTAAGGCGCAATCTCTGTCTCTATTAAGAGAGTGAACGAGTATAAAAATGAAAAACAATAGAAGGTTTGGTCTGAAACCTACCCCCATAAGCTTTGGAAAATGTTCAAAACATTTTCTAACAGCTAATAAACCAAATAACTCATCAATTAATTGATAACAGAATTTAACCAATTTTTCTGTAAGTGTTCTATTTACATTTAATTCAATATAATAATAATATTTAATAATAATTTCAAGACGTTTGCAGTGAAGGAAAAATAACAGCTGTGTCTCCACCTCTTTTTCCTAATCAAGCGGGACGTGGCTATCACCTGTAAAACATGCCTCTGTTGGGACGTGGCTATCATCTGTAAAACATGCCTCTGTGGGGAAGTGGCTATCATCTGTAAAACATGCCTCTGTGGGGACGAGGCTATCATCTGAATGACACCTTTTCCCTCTGTCATGCGTCCTGGCTGCAGAACACACAGCGTTTTCTGCTCAAAGACAAACTCTGGTTCCACTTCACTTTCACCATTAAAGACACAAAGCCACCTCATTATTCTTTTAATGATGTGTATTATTCATATCGTCACAGCTGATAGAAGTGGCTTTGTGAAGCTGTGGAGGGGGATGTGGTGTTATAAAAACATATTTACTGGTTGGAATCCAAACGGACAGAAATCTTGATCCTTGCTGTCGCTCAGCTGCAGTTTTTCACGATTCTTTTTAGGTATGAATGTCCAAAAAGCTTCCAATCAGAAAAAAGCTCCGCAGAGGAAACGTATTAACATGTCAGCAGAGTTTGTGCCATAATAAATTATAATCCGTCACTGTGACAGACAGGGGTTGTTCAAAGTCTGTCAAAGTCTATTCTACCCGTCACATCTGTTTCCTGATATAGAACTGTTCGCTGATGCATCGCACGGGGTTTGAATGGTCTTTCCCGACAAAACTATTGAAAATACATTAAAAGATCAAATAAAGTGTGTTTTATTCATGATTAACCAACATCTGTCTTTGTTCACTTTGAGGATTTAGTTGTCTGAATCCAGCCTGATATCAGTGGCCAAAAATAAAATATGTTTATCTCAGATGGCTTTATCATCTGTACAACATTCAACATCCTCTATAGGTCCTACACAGTCAGATTTAGATTAGAAAGAGATGCCATTTTTATGGATGAAAAAAGCGGAAACATTTCTGATAAACCTTACTTTCAGGAAACAGTTTTGCTTTTCCTGAATCGAGGTTGGTTTGTCTGTCTCAACACAAGATAGAAAGAAATCTAGGGATTTATTTGATTGTTATGAATCTGCCTATTATTTTCTAGATATATCAATGAATTGTTCTGGTTTATATAACATTTACAATACTGATGAATATCCATCGGAAAAGTCAAAGTGATTTCTTTAAATGTCTGGATTTGTCAGGTATGATAATATTCCATTCCTCACATACTTATGTATAATATCCTGCTTTATATTTTGTAACTGTACATTTGTAAATCAACATGTATATTTTCTACTTTTTTTAATGCTATTTTATTTCTATTTGAGATGTTTACATTTTGGATTGTTTATTTCTATTTTTTATTTTTAATGTACAATGCCATGTCTTTTGATGCTGCTGCAACGCATACAAATCCCAAATTGGGATCAATAAAGTACTTCCTGTCTTATCTTAAATCCCTCCATGTGTTAGAAGCTGATAACAATGTTACTTACGAACCGATTATTAACTAATAACTAATTAGCATATTATATTTTTGAAGGCTAATTGTTGAAGTCTTGCTAACTGTGAAGCACAGCAGTTATGTGAATGCTAATGTCATCTCTCTCTCGATGACTTCAAGTTGGCGCTAGATGAAAAGTCAGAAGCTCATTAGAATTCATCCTGAAGGCAACATGAACCACATTTCATGTCAATCTATTCAACAGCTGGTGATGGAGTTCAGTCTGACGCTGGTCCAACCAACAAATGTACATTGACGTCCCTCAGGAGACACTGCTAGCATGGCCAGGAACTTTGTTTTGGACAATAATCTACGAGTGAGAAACATTGTTACTGCTACCGATCCTTCATCGTAAGCAAATGATTTAGAGGTCAAATTGCAGCATAGAAGATGTTTTCATGTGGGTGTCGACTACAACCCCCTCTGCAAACTGTAAAGCCACCAAGATAACGATACAGAAACATCTCTGCTCTTTCAGGGTCTTAGATTATGGTGACAGCTGACTGACCGTTTACTAGTCCTGAAAACTGTCCGTCTGTCAACCAAAGCTTCTGAGGTATTGTTCCCATAAAGCGTAAGTTTCTGGTCTTTTTTCAATCGTCACCAATGAGAATAAGGCGTGTATCATTGCATGTGACACCTCGAGAATAACTTGGGTTATCCCACATAGACACCAAACCCTTAGTGTATTGTTTATTAACTAAATAAACCTTATCTGATCCCAATTTGGGAAATGTTTGCGTTGCAGCAGCATAAAAAGACAAGGCATTGTACATTAGGGAAATTAAAGACAAGAAAAAAACAATCCAAAATGTAAACATCTGAAATATAAATAAAATAGCATTAAAAAAATAGAAAATATACATGTGGAAGACTGGAAAAGATCTAAATGCAGTCCAATTGCTGTTGATTTGCTGTATTATTCATGGCCCGCTAGCTGGTTGGCGCACAGTGAGTACGGGAAATTGACAAGTGTTACGACGGCAATTTAAGACGATAATGTTTGAGTTTGCCTTTTCTGATAAAGACGCTGTATTTCTTGGCGGTATTTCCTGGTTTCTTTTGTTTTCGGTGGATCCGCGGTAAAACCTGGGCGGACTTTTCTGCGTTTCTTTAGAGTTGTTCACGCTTGCCTATAAAGATAATTGTGACACAGAAAAGTGTGATATAACAGAGTATTTGTATGTTTAAAAAATGTCAGAAGGGACTACTGGCCCCCGAGCATATTAACATTATTAAATCTGGCCTTCTTTGAAAACCCCTGCTTTTCATCATGTGTTTGCTCTGCACACATATTCATTTCATCATCTCCCTAATAACCATCAGGCTTCCCCTCTTAAGTCCTGCTCTCTGAATCAGTGAGTCCACACGCTCTGTAGGGCATGAGTAAGCAAAGTGGTCGTGCAGTGAGTCAGCCATCGAGGAGAGGAATGCCCTTCTTTAATTAACAGCCGGCCGTAATGGAAAGGCTCAC